CCCGTTTTGTTCTGGGACCTTTTCCTTGCCTTTGCAGGAGACAGCATTAACAGAGGGATACAAACTTGTTCTGTTTCTAACCTCAGAATGACTCTTTATTAGCTTCAATTCAAAATCATTATTTTTTTAAAGGCTAAACCTGACAGAATGTAAAGTTTTAGTCTTATAAATGCTGCTAACTTATTATAGACTATTAGGAAAAAGAAGTTAGTTAGTCATCCTTAAAGTACTGGTATAATTAATTACAGGAATAAGCCTTATTTAGTTCCCTGTATATGTTTTCAAAGTAAAACTTAAAACAAGTGACTAGAAACAAAGTTTGTCCAATCAGATATACCCAGGCAGTCCTCATACTTCAGAGATCTGCAAAATATGGCATTTAAAATAATGATTAAAAAGTTTATATTAGACAGAGATTTGGAGATCCTAGCAGTAACTGAAGGTCTCAAAGGAAGATTAGGGGACACCATGATGTCTCCACCTGGATTATGATGATGATGACCTCTGGGCGAGATGCCTCAGTGCAATACCTGCTGCCAGGACTCAGTCCAGACTGTGGACAAACAGTAGGACATTGGAGAATTGATTGCACCACTTTTGCCTAGACAAAATAAGATCAGTCTTTTCCATGTCTCTCTTCCACAGGGGGGAACAATCACCTTATGGGTCTGGCTAAGGCTATAAGACTGCTGTTCTGATTCTTCTGCCTTCAATGCCATGGAGACCTGGGTATGGCTAACTGTATATGGACTTTGGTACCTGTCATTTTTAATGGATTCGGAAGCTGCTTGATCTCTACTCAGGTATAATTTATCCTTCTGGGATCTCGGATAGCATTGATGGCTAGGCCAGCTATAATGTTGTCAGTTTAGCAGCAGCGGGCATCCAGATCCTTCCATAGAGCTAGAGCCAGATTGTTAGCTCATTTTATAGATATAAAAACCAAGTGTTGCTTTTTCTAAAGCTATTGGTCTCTTGATTAAAAAATGTTTTACGATATATGAAGGTCTAAGGATATAAAGGCTCATAAGCTTTGAGGGTCTAAAAATATATTAAGATGTAAACACAGGTTAAGATATGGAAAAGGTTTCTGATTTCTTTCATCTTCTAAGGTATAGTTCTGATAAGCTGATAGAGCAATGACTACTTACTGTTTGGTCACAAGTTCAAGACTTTAGATTTATTCTGGCTGCCATCTAAATATGAACTTAAAAGTGTTTCTCTTAGCCCAGCAGTGGTGGCGCACGCCTTTAATCCCAGCACTCGGGAGGCAGAGGATCTCTGTGAGTTCGAGACCAGTCTGGTCTACAAGAGCTAGTTCCAGGACAGGCTCCAAAACCACAGAGAAACCCTGTCTCGAAAAACCAAAAAAAAAAAAAAGTGTTTCTCTTTGGGTCAAAGATACTTAGAAGTCAAGTCAGGAACCCATGGTATGGTTCACTATAGTTATTAGAACAGAGAGGAATGGAGAACCAAAGTTCCTCCATTTTGTCCTTCATCTCTATCGTGTGTCTTGTGAAAGCTATTTCCCATAAAGCATTTCAGTCCTCATAAATGACTAGGGGCAAAAGTAACAGGGTAGCCCTCTGGAGAGTACAGACAACTGCAGAATGTCCCCAACCGAAGGTCAGCAGATAAGAAAACTTGACAAGCAACAGGCAAGGTTCAAAAATAAAATTCCTGAGAAGTCCCTAGGATACAAGCCAATCAGAATTGATTATGTAATTTTTCCGATTTTTGCCTTTAAATAATGCCCTCTAGAAGGGCAAGGTATGTCCTCTTGCTGCTGCTCCTGCTGCAACAGTTGCTGTGACGAGGTCCCTGCCAGCTTGGATTGTGCACACCATCAACCTCGCTTTTGCATTTCAGTGAGTCTGTCTCCCTGGTGATCTTTTGGGGTCCCCACGGACTGGGCATAACAGTAGATTTCTCCCAATTTTCCTGAAGAGAAGGAACAGAAAAAAGTATTCTCCTTGTTGTTTCAAAGAACAAAATAAGTCTAGGATTTTAACAATTTCATAAGTGCATAAAATGTATCTTCATTACTCTATTCACCACGCCCTCTCTGAAATCCCTCTTATTCCTATCTCTTTCCTGTCCATAACAACCTTTCTCAGGTTCATGGCTTCTTACTTTCTTGGGAGCTCACCAAGGCCAGCTGGACTGTGACTGAAAAAATATGGGATAAAACCGGACTCTTTGAACATGGCGGACAATGAGGGCTGATGAGAGGCCAAAGACAATGGCACGGGGTTTTGATCCTGCTTCATGTTCTGGCTTTGTGGGAGCCTAGCCAGTATGGATGTTCACCTTCCTGGACTGGATGGGGAGGGGGGACCTTGGACTTTCTGCTGAACAGGGAACCCTGACTGCTCTTCGACTGGAGAAGGAGGGGGAGAGGAGTGGGAGGAGGAGAAGAGTGGGAGGAGGGGGAGGGAAATGGGAGGCTGGGAGGAGGCGGGAATTTCTTTTTTTTTCTTTCAAAAATATATAATAAAAAATTTTTATTTTTGAAATGATAACATAAACACAGCAGTTCTCCTTTCCCCTCCTCCCTCCAAACCCTCCCACATACACTTCCATGCTTACGTTCCAATTCAAGGCCTCTTTACCCATTTACTGTTGCTGCATGCATATATGTATGTAAATTTCTTTTCCTAAATATAACCTGTGCTCCATCTGTATAATGTTCCTTGTGTATATGTTCTCAGAGCTGACTGGTTTTGATCCATTTAGTTCAGTCAGGGCCATCTGTGTGACCATTAGATGGGATTATTCACTGGAGCAATACAGAGTCACCAGCTTGTGTACAAATGAAGAGAATGATTTTCTTCCTCCGTGAATCGCTTAGTAGCAAACGGGTTAGCAGTTAGGACTGGGACCCCAAGAGCCCCTCCTCTACCCATGCCTAACTGTTAAAGGGCCCATTCTTGCACTGACGTGGTGCAAGCATCTGCAGCTGCTGTGCATTTGTTGTGGGGAATGGCGGGGCTGCATCCCGCCACCCGGCTAGCTGTACACCTGAAATAATTACACGGAAACTGTATTCTTTTAAACACTGCCTGGCCCATTAGTTCCAGCCTCTTATTGGCTAGCTCTTACATATTGATCTAACCCATTTCTAATATTCTGTGTAGCCCAAGAGGTGGCTTACCAGGGAAGATCTTAACTTGCGGCTGTGTCGGGTGGGCCAATCACGGCGACTCCTGACTTGGCTTCTTTCTCCCAGCATTCTGTTCTGTTTACTCCACCCACCTAAGGGCTGGCCTATCAAATGGGCCTAGGCAGTTTCTTTATTAATTAACCAATGAAAGCAACAGATTAGAAAGAAATCACTCCCACATCATGCATTTGTGGTATGTTTCCCATTATGCCCATGGACCACCCACCTGCATCAGAATTACCAAGGGCCTTGCTAACAGTCAATGTTCAAAGCCTGGTTCCAAACCCATGAAAACTATGTGAGCGTAGGTCAGAGAGTTGATCTTCAGATGATCCTCATCTACACAGCTGAGTTCATATCCATGACTCCTGGGTGATTACGTCACTCTACCTCCAGGGAAGCGCACTCTGGAGATAAGCAGTTTGGCTTCTTTCTCTAAACATCCCATCACCCTGTTCCTGGCATTCAGCAATACTAGGTACTTCCTGGTTAGGTTTATGAACAGGACAGAGCCTTGTAGTCTTATAAGGAGATACTTCAGAGATCAGTCAGGAACAAACATATAAACATAATAGAAACCAGGCTGCATTGTATCAGTGTTTGAGTAGAGTCAGAAAGTTGCAAAATCCCCAAAAATACCAAAGAAATATTACTTCCTTATTTCATTGTAAAAAAGATAACCGACTTTAAAGTGCTTCAAACTATTTTCATCTGAAGCACTCAAGAATGATCAATGTGGAGTAGTAGAGACCAGCCAGACCGTAACAAGTTCTAATCAGCCAGACTCCACCCTGATACCAAGAAGTCTGTTTCACCACGTTGTTGAGCCTTTCTTGTGAGAGCAGAAATTCCCACAATTGTGGTCATTTTGATGAATCAGACAGGGAAACAGTATTATCGAGTGAAACAAATCGCTTTTACCAGGGATGAACTAGAACTTTCATATATGAGATTTTTCTCCTGTTGGCTAGAGTTCTCTCCGAACTCAGCATAGACTAATGTGGCATGGGCCCTGACTCTGAGTATCCACAGGATCACCCATATATGTAGACATGGGAACAGATACATGGATGTATTATCTGGAGGGGGGAGGGGGGCTAAAAACGGAGAGGATAGGTGAATGGGAGGAGTTCTATAAAGGTACAAGAACATCAATTCTGAAACTCGTTTAAGTGATTTGTTCTTATTTGCTTTTTCTCTTCTAAAACTGTTTGAAGTCAAAGGCATTAGGCCTCTCTGACAGTAACAACCAAAACACAGATGGAGTTGACCACTGTTCCCACAGATCCTGGCATTCCAAAGGAAATGTACAAACTAACAGCCAGCTCTGTTCTCTAAGACTTCAACTGTTTCAACATCACCCCATGACGTGGGTTCCACAGACTTGGAGGTACACTAGCCTAGGGGAGGATTGAAAGTGGACACAAATCCTTTTCAGTTCAGGCGTTCAGGAAGCTGAGGACGGGGCATTGCCATGGAGTTCAAGAATAGAGTTCTTTCTCAAATAAATATATTTTTTTTCAGAATTTGATTAAACCACAAGATTAAAAACCAAACGTAATTGTTCCTTCATGCTGAACATCCATGGAAAGGAATACGAAATAATGTTTTGAGAATTTGAGAAGGTGTCGCAAGTGCCTCTCATTTCAGTTTTAGAGAAAAGGGGCACGGGTATGAGGGCAAATGGAGACCTTACTAGGCATTCGTGGAGCTGGAGCCAAACACACCAAAAAAAGAGTTGGCCAAGGCAAAGAAAAGGCGCCAAGACTGTGTGGGTGGGAGCCATGAGGTTTAAGGGCTGAGAAAGGAAACCAAGATAGGAGGCTGATATCCTCACCTAGCCTGGCCTCGGGCTGCTCCTATAGTCTTTGACTCGCTCAGGCCACACCCAGTGCCTACACCGCCCGCGGTTTTCTGAGGAGCGCTGGAGTTTTCCTTTGAGAACTGGAGCAACGAGGACGTATGAATGACCCGCTCGCCGGGATCGAGCCCGGGCGGGCCGTGTGTTCTCCGCGCGGGGTCCGGGGTGGGCCGCCCGTGGATACCGGCGCTCCGGATCCCGCTCTGTCGAAGACCGACAGGGACCTCTCAGCGGCAGGTGGGGACGTGAGATCGCGGACGCGAGAGAATTTGGATTGCCAGTCGTCCTGGGTCAGAGAAAAAGTGCTCTTTCTTTTGAACCCCGAGAGGTGGTTGGGAACACAAGCGGACCCTGCTTGCGCAGAGCTGGTGGATAGCGAGGACTTCCGTCCGAGGATTGAAGACCACCGCGATTCGGAACGGGAACCGAAGCTTTCCCGCAGGCGCATTGCCACGGTCCCCGGAGCCCAGCCTCGGAACCCAGCAGCCACCCCCAGGTCCGTGTTGGTGCGGGTCGTGGATTACCATGAGACGCAGGAGGTGCAGCGGACTGAGTGGACCAAGGGTCAGATGACTACGAGGACCAAGGAGCGCTCTGTAACCGCCGTCACCTTTCGCACCCAGAGTGATTGACATCGTTTGTGCGGCACTGGGGCGAGAGCAGAACCTGGATGTACCCTGCGTTGCTATGGGAGGATAATTCGTCGCCAAAGATCCGAACCCGAGAAATGTTCCAGGGCTAGGGATGCGAGGAAACGCCCGAAGAACCAACTCTCAGCAGTTTTAGACTTCCTCTGTGGCGTCAGTGTCTGACAGTCCTTTAAGAGAATAAAAGGTATTTTTACATTGGTGGAACGTGGGAGTTCGAAAGCGCAAAACCTTAGTCAATTCACTTGGCGTTTTTGGAAACAACTCATATTGCTTGTCTGCATCTCCTTCATGTTAAGCACCCAAAAGCACAAGTGATGTTTGCGGTCTGCTTTCTAGGATGTGTGTGGTGTGTGGGGCGGGTGCAGAGAGACTTGCTTCAAAAGCCTTAAGAACATTGTTTGTTTGTTTGTTTTTTTAATATATAGAAAAAAAATAAAACGAATCAGGAAGTGAAGCAAAATGTTTCTAGGTACTCTATTCACTAGTATGCAATTTCCTCTCTGGTCCTTCGTATTTCCGTCTTGAGGAGAAAAGGAGCAAGGGAAAGAAAGACGGGTGGGTGGGTGTTTTTTCTGTGTGGAGAGCATTGGCCTGAGAACAGGCCTTTATCCCAGAGGGCATCTAACCCAAGTTACTGTTTATTAAGTGAGGTAGACATTCTGGATGCAGTATGTCATAAATGGTTGTATGCTTTATTCTTTTTGGCTTGTTTTTTTTTTTAATTAAATCTATTTATTTATTTATTTTACATCTCAACCAGTTTCCCCTCCCTCCTTAACTCCCATTCCCCACTCCACCCCTAATCTGCTCCTCTGCTTTTTCTGTTCAGAAAGAAACATGCCGTATTCTTATCCAGACACCTACACTTTTTAACTACTAAGATCTGTAGTTAAGACTGAACTGACAAGAACTCTGCTGGGTTTAAGTTGTATTATCTTCAATTAGATGTATGTGCCTGTGAGTGTTGGTAGGTGCCTGGAGGCCAGAGCTCCTTGTGGCTGGAGCTACAGGAAATTGGGAATTGGGGAAACAAGTGTTTGGTATCAAATTTGGTCCTCTGCAAGAGCAGTCTGGACTCTTGACCACTGAGCCCTCTCTCCTAACTCTACCCTGCGTTTAAAATGATTGAAGGCTAACACTTGTTTTAAGTGGATTCCCTTTGTCATTAGACACCAGCATTACAAAAAAAAAAAAAAAAACCTTCATTATCTTATTTATGTGAGTGCTTTGCTTGTACGTCCACGTGTGCACAGCTAATGTGCCCACTGCTCTCAGAACTCGGAATTGGGTCCCCTGGAATTGGAGTTAGGGATGGTTGTGAACAATGGTGTGGGTGCTGGGTATCGAACCTTGGTCCTTTGCAAGAGCAGCAAGTCCTTGTATCCAGGGAACCATCTCTCCAGTCCCACATCATTATTAACTCTTTAGTACTGGGACCTAGTTTGGAACTCTGAGGAGCAAAACAAAGCTCTTAGGGAGAGGTGAGGGCTCAACTGACCCCTATGGGAGGGGTATTTGGTAACAGGTAACAAAGGAGAGAGGCTCTGCTTTGGGGGTGAAGCTGGAACAGCTGCTCTTACCTAGTCGTTTCATCTGTCTTCAGTCCCAGCTTGATTTGCCTTCAAGCAATCATCTGGTCCACCTTTTATCTTCTGCCTGGCCAGACAACATCCTTCTTTAAACAGAAGAGCTAAGTTTGCCCTAGAGGTCAATAGCTTGTGTAGCTCATGAGCAAGTGTCTTCATGTGCTTACTAAGTAGACAAGAAATGTGGTCATCTCCCTCCTAAATATTTGTGGATGACGATTACTACATCTTTCTTCTAGAGATTCAACTATGCCCAAGCAGGAGAATTTGAATTCTAGGCCAGTTTGTGTTGCACATGGAGACCCTGTCTCAAAAGTGGATCCATCTGAGGGTACCATGGGTTTCTAACACAGATTTAGGAAAAGTATGAGAGTCATTTTTATCCCTGCATCTTGCAAGGCCGGCTGGAGATTCACCACTAGCAGTTTTCAGGCCTGAGAGAGCTTCTCTGAGGAAGGACATTAGTGCTTGAACTCATCCACAGATCTATAGAGTAGTTGAAAATGTGATGTTGATCTCCCAATAACTTCTCCTTTTGCAGAAATTCTTCCTCATTTCTTTGTAAGGTTAATCATGCAAGTGGCCTCTCTGCCCGTATGAGATTGGTTCTACATGATTAAGCACTGAATGGAGACAAGAAAAACAACTATCTTTTGCAATGACCCAAAAGAGTAGCATCCTTCAGCTATCAGAAGGCAGGCTCTGGAGTTTTGTGGCTCATGCCAATCCTTTGTTAACTAAGAAACCTTGGGCAAAGTGCCTAATCTTTATGTCTTTACTTGTTAAGTGGGGAGAGGAAATGGTGAGCTTTTGGGGTGGGATTTAGTTAAGATCCTTAGAATACGGCCTGGCATGTAATAACCGCTCAGCACTGACTCCTAGGATTCCTAGTGTGGTCATCATTCAACCCATTTTTTTCCCTTAACCAGGATTCAGCTTTTTATTTAATCATGTAGTGTAGAAATCAAAAACAAAACAAGCAACAGCAAAACAAATAATGAAAATGAACTAGAGGTTTTTAGCTTTTTCCATCTTTAATGGATCCCCACACCCGTTTACCAAAGTCCTTAGAAACGATTTCTACACCATGTGGGAGTCCTCAGCTAAGACTAGAGGAAGGACTACAGTCACTATGCTGAATGAATAGAGGGGCTGAAAGCTTGCATTGCCTCCCTGGTAGTTGAAGCTTAGATGGGGTCTTGCTATGTAGTCTTGGTTGGCCTGGGACTCTATATATATCAGAAAGGCCTCAGATCTGCCTGCCTTCCTAGTGCTGGGATTAAAGGCATGCGCCATCACGCCCCATATTGGAAAATAATTTTTCTTTTTTTTTTTTTTGGTTTTTTTGAGACAGGGTTTCTCTGTGGCTTTGGAGCCTGTCCTGGAACTAGCTCTGTAGACCAGGTTGGTCTCGAACTCACAGAGATCCGCCTGCCTCTGCCTCCCGAGTGCTGGGATTAAAGGTGTGTGCCACCATCGCCCGGCTGGAAAATAATTTTAAAACTACTTTTCTACCTGACCCCTCCCCCCAGTTAGCTTTCTGCAGCATGTTTACAGGTTTTAAATAGATATCACATTGAAAGCAAAAAGTAGTTGCTGAACTGTCTTGGTTTGCCTTACAGGTGAAGAACAAGAACACTTTCCATTTCATAAGAGTCTTTGGAAGAACATCCGAACTTGTCAGTACCAAGCACTGTCTCAGGATGACTGGATCTTGGCTCTTTGACTTAACCTCTACCTCACAGAAAACTGAGTTTGTCTGACATTGTCCTTGTTGGCCCATCTGAACACAATAGACTGCGACAAATGTCGGAGTAACATAACCGCCATGATCAGGCCAGTGCCTACCTCTGTTTTTTTTTTAATTAATATATATTTTTATTTTGAGACAGTGTCTAGCTGTGTATTCCAGGCTTACTTTGGACGTGATGTCTAGCCTGTGATGACTGAACTGGAGATGGTCCTCAGCCTCCTACATCATGGGATGACAGTGTGTTCCCGATTCTCGGGCTGCCACCTCTCTTTAATCTCCTTCTCCATACCTGTCGTTACACATGCTATCCGCTGTATTTGACTTGCTTGTTCTATTGAGGAGCCTTACCAGGTCTTGATATTAAAACTCACTGTGATTTTTTTTCCTAAAATTTTTAAATTTTAAATTTATTTTGTGTATGAGTGTGTGCCTGCATGTGTATGTTTTTATTGTGTCTACCAGCTGACCACAGAGAGCAAAAGAAAGTGTTAGATTCCCTAACACTGGAGTAAAGGTGGTTGTAAGCCTTCATGCAGGTAACAGAAACTTAACCCAGAAAGAGTTCTTAACCGCTGAGACATTTGTTCAGAACTGAAAATGACCCTTAAAAGAAGAAAGAAAAAGTTTTATTTTCAAAATAGATTGTTGGGGCCCAATGTGGTAGCATAAGCCTTTAATTGCAGCAATCTGGAGGCCTACAGAAAAGAAAAAAGAAAGGAGAAAGAAAATGAAAAAAAGTTTGCTCATCTAGAAACAAATTAAGAAAGGATTATGAAGTTTAAAAAGATAGATTAAAAGACAACCAAAATTCTCCCATGATCCTACATCTCTTAATATTTAGTATCACATGAATATGGCTTTGTTTTAATTTTCTTTTTATGTGTATGCTTAGGTTGACACAAAATATATAGGTCTCACTTCAAAGGGAGTAAAAGATAGTTCATTCTAAAAACAAACATGGGTGACCATGGCCAAGGAACTCAGGGATTCAGATTATGCCAAAATCCACATGCCTATGTGGTTTCATGATATTTTTATAGTATCAAAACAATGGAATAGTTCATAAATCCGCAGACTTTTCAAATACACTGGTAGAAACTTCGGGCAAGTGCGTACAGCAAAGTGAGAAATTTCTGTTGTAGCTCTCAAATACAATCTGATGTCCTTATTAGCCTTTGGGTTGGTCTGTATACCCCAAGGATGTTAGATCACACATAGAGATGGGCTTACATAACCCAAGATACAGTGGGTCTTGGTCTGCAGCACTCAAACTCTCTATAACCATTCAAGCTACAATCAATTAATTAGTTTATCAGCAAAGCATGGCTGTTGTGTACTAGCTTCAGTTAATGCATACTTATGCATTTATTTTATTGTAAGGATAAATTATAAAAAATAATCCTGGTGTAACCCTTTGTATTTTCTGAGTAATGCTTTTAGGTAGGTCTCCTTCTTTGTTAGCTGGGTAGTGTGAGAAGAAAGGAAGCTTTTCCTCCACGTGGTCCCTTTTTGTCATAGCATGTTATCCCAGCAGCAGAAAGGAGCAGGAAAGATAAGCTATCCTACAGGCTGCTGTCACTGGGGATCGGGCCCAAGGGGCTCCCCCAAAAGAAAAGAGCAGAGTCTCTTCTCCCTCCACTCCCGCTGCACTGCTGAGTCAGAGCAAGCATGCTTGTCTGTAAAGAACCCTGGGTAATTCACATTCTAGGTTCACAAGCATTGTTCTATCCCTCAGGTTAATGTCAGCACAGTCAGTTACTACAATTAAAAACATTATTTTTTAAAAAAATTATAATTCATTTTTAACAATGCCAGGGCAATAACAATTTGTTGGATTATGGAACTAGACTTTATAAAAGGGTACACAAGGCAGTTTATCAGGGATTGGTAACCTGGAAAAAAAAATGTGTCTTCTTAAACAGCCATATTTTTCTATAATTGTCCCTAATGAAGTATTGATTGATTATTGGATCTCTTAACTGAGAACGAGTTTTTCATTTTCAAGGAATGTGAACCGGTTTATTGCCAGACGCCCCTTAGGGGAGGAAGGGCAGGAAGTCATTAAGGACAGGACGGTTTCAGACCTCTGCAGCTGAGTCACAGCTTGTCAGTCATTCGTGGCGAGTTATGAGGGAGTGGGGCAAAGGTGGGGCTTGAATTTCAATCAGTTGATTCAGGTAGGAAAACAGGGGTTGGGACTCTGGAACACCCTGAAATCTCTCTAGCCACCCAGCACTTTGCTCTTTAATTAGAAAGGGTAGCTCTTTATGGATTTATTTCTCTACATAATCTCATAAATGGTGATAAGGAAAGGAAAAGTCCAGATTACTTGGGGCAGCAAAAGGAGGTGTGTTCAGGGTACAGGCACTGTGCCAGCCAATAGTTCCCGGTAGAATAAGGACAATTATGCTCAGAACAAGGAAGTGAATTTAAAAATCATAACCTGACTTCTCAGCTTAAAAGAGAGTACTAGAGAGCTGGAGAGAGGATTGCTCAGTAGCTGAGATCTGAGTTTGGTTCCCTGTATCCACGGTGGGCATCTCACAGGCACGTGAAACTGCAGCTCCAGGGGCTCTGATACCTTCTGCCTTCGCATGCACTAGTACACATGAGACATACAGTCACACACATGCACGTAAATGAAACTTAAAGTCTTAACAGAACAGAGCTTGTAATAATGTTAAGGTAAACGAACTAGCCTCTCTCAGGCTAGCTGGAAGCAATAGCACCCAGGCAGTGGGAAAATTTCACATTTTCTCTTAGCTTGACTAAGGGCCCATGAGCTATTTCTTTGAAATGGAGTCATTGGGAAAAAGAGGATCCCGAATTATCTTCGCCTGTGTGGTGTGGGAAAACAGAAGACTACCTCCCCAAATTATTAGTTAACAGACACAAATGGTCAAATCACATTGAACAGCTGTCTCCAAAATCCTTCAGTACATTCTCACCAGCTTAGAAACTCTCCTACCATCGGTCTCAGAGAAATTCAGTTTGTTCTCTCTTCCCTACCATAAAAATCTCCAAGAAAGTCTTTTTCTCTTTGAATCTGTCTGGGCAAATTTTCCTTAACAGTGAAGAGGAAACAGAGAAAGGGGAAGGCTTGAGGTATACCTCTGGCATCAAGAATTTGGTGGTGGTGGCGGGGTGGGGCAGATGTTTAGAAGGACAACTTCTCTTAGGATGGGTTTAGATCAGGGAGGGCCTGAGTGACAAGGTGGGCACATCAGAAAGCTGGCAGCTAATGAGTAACCCTGCCATTATGGACAGATGGCAGCCGAGGCCGAGTGGCATTCTTCCAGCACTGCAGTAACTCTCTAAGATTAAATTTAATGGAAGCTACTTAGTACCAGGCATATAAGGAACACCCAAATCAGCTATCATTATCATAATAACAATCAGCCATGGTGGTCAGGTTTACATCTCTCTTCATTCTAATCAACTGCATTTTTAAAAATTTATTTATTCAATTATCTATCTATCTATTTATTTTTGTATTATTTTGTATGTTTATCTCGGGTGGGTGGTAATGTGTACTTGAAAACAGGTGTTCTTGAACAACTCCGGAACCCCTTGAGTTGGAGTTATGGGCAGTTGTAAGCCATCCAACAAAGATTATGGGAACTGAGTTCAGGTCCACAACAAGAGTAGTCCCTGTCCTTAAGCACTGAACAATCCTGCCGGCACCTATGCTTTACCTTCTAAGGACAAAAAGCAAAATACTTGAAGCAGTATTTTCTGCAGCAATTCTTTTCTATCTGCTTTCAAATGTCTCCATATAAGATCTAGCCACTGCCACATGGATTCAACCTCAGGCTGGGGACGGGATTTGACAGAATGCTTGCCTGACATGTCTGAGACCCTGAACTTGATCCTTAGTACATCTGCCAATTTTAACAAATAAATAACCATAGATTCAGCCTTTTACTAATTTTGAACTTTGTATGTGTTGGAGATTGAACCTAAGGCCTTGTATATATAAAACATGTTGCTGGCTATGAAGTAACATACCAGTCCTCTTCGGTTACGAAGAAGTGTGAGGATTCTGGGAGTTAGAAAGATTTTTGTCGCAGAATAATAACAAGGCTGCAAAATAATTAAGGCTGGGCTGGACTAAATGCTGACCCAGATCCTAGAAGTTACAAGGATTCAGGTGTCACAATCTCTTCATCCCAATGTGTAGGAAAATTATAACGGTATAAATGAAATAATCTTATAATAAAATTCTGCTTGGGGATTATGTTGCAGGAGAAGAAAGGATTCAGCAGTGCATATTCACGGTTGGCCCGAGGTTTAACCAATGGGGAGGGAAGATTGTCCTGAGAAGTCAACAGAGGGATTCAAGATAGCGACAAATGAGACTAAAGGTTCATCTGGTGTTTAGTATCACCATATGTTTAGTGATAAACACTTCTGTTGTTAAGAAGTGACTGATCTGATTTTTATTTTTTAAAAAATTTAAATAAACTTTATCATTATGGCGGTGGTGGCGCACGCCTTTAATCCCAGCACTCGGGAGGCAGAGGCAGGCAGATCTCTGTGAGTTCCAGGCCAGCCTGGTCTACAAGAGCTAGTTCCAGGACAGGAACCAAAAGCTATGGAGAAACCCTGTCTCGAAAATCAAAAAAAAAAAAAAAAAACCAAAAACAAAAACCAAAAACAAAAACAAAAAAAACTTTATCATTAAAAAACTTGGTAATGAATAAGTAAATAAAAACATCACACATCAAAATTAACTAGACCCAGAGTCTACACCACTCACTGTGTATGATGGCCTGAAAGGGTAAAATTCAACGTGAAGCTCTGCAGCTTCTGTCTCCAATACCTATGCGAGCTGTAGTTGCTCTCGGAATTTGAACCATGCAGATGTAAACTTTAAAGTAGCAAGTTTTAATTTCCCTTTACCACCTTTATGCAGAAGCTCATTTTAAAGAGCAGAATTTATTTCCCCTGCACAAACAAACAAACCAAACCAAAACCCCCTCACCTCATGCATTTAGTAGAGGACACTCTACTCAAGGTTCGACTTTTCAAGTCCATTTCAAGAGTACCGTTTCTTCATCCTCAACTAGTTCTATACTTCAAGAGTAGATTCAGCTGGGGTGACACTCCGTGACGCAGCTTTTTTCTAATATGGTTTCAACTTCCAACGTTGCCAAAAAGAAATTAGATGGTCGAACAGGGAGCATGAGATGCACTTGCTGCCGGACTGACAACCCGTGGGAGTTCAATCCCATGCTAAAAAAAGATATGCACATGTGTACATAAATAAATACATTGTAATCAAAATATTTAAAACAATTTTAAATGACTAACATAGACAATAACATAGCAATTATGGTGACTAAGGAAGAAATCAAGTTATACTGATTGTGATATGTAATTTATGTGTAAGACTTAGAGAAACAATAAATTGTAAAGATTTTACTATAGAAGTGTAATTTATTTATTTATTTACTTATTAATTAAAAATTTCCACCTCCTCTCCACCTCTCATTTCCCTCCCCATTCCCCCCTCTCCCTCCCCCTCCAATCCTAAGAGCAGTCAGGGTTCCCTGCCCCCTGGGAAGTGCAAGGTCCTCCCTCCTCCATCCAGGTCCAGGAAGGTGAGCATCCAAACAAACCAGGCTCCCACAAAGCCAGTCCATGCAGCAGAATCAAGTAATTTTATCAGACATAAACATCTTCATCAAGAAATTCTTTATTTTATGATTGTTATTATTAAAGAACGAATCAAGGAAAAATACATTAGTGGAAACCTGTTTTCTCAATCATATTTTCTGCAGACATTTTTAACTTTACTAAAGTTAATTATTAGTTACTTTACAATTACATGAAATGATGCTTTTTCTTTTCCTCTCTGAGCACAGCAAAGATAGTTCTTTGTTTAACTTTACACATATCACTAAACACTATTCTCCCCCCGCTTCTGGAGGCAGACAGAGCATGTGTGCCTCTCCAGTGTGTAGTCCTGATGTCAGAACAATAGATAGCTGACAACCTTGTTACTTGGTTAAAACTTGGGTCTCCTGATCTCTGACGCAAGGCATTTTCACTGCTCCCCAGGAAAGAGAACCACACCCACCAGCTAGTTTTGATTACGGATTTAGAACTGACTAAATCCATACTATATACTAGTGAACCCCAGTAATAAACTCAGGGCAAGCCAGAAAGTGCACTTCCACGTGTGTGTGTTCAAGCTTCAGAGTGAGCCTAGTAAGTTCCATTTCTTTGTTTCCATTGGCTTTCTGGCAAGTCAGGGCACCCGAGGTCCTCCCATCAAAAGGCCTTGAGAATAATGATGTCTTGAAGATGACCTAGATGGCCTAACTTTCTCTGGCTTTATTGACCTGTAGAAAATTTTCTTCCCAATGTACAGGGAAGGAAACTTTGAGACTTGAGAAATGTTTTCGGTAATCCTTTCCCTTTGAAATCCAAGTCTTTTGAAAAGATCTTTTGCCAGTTTCACAGATATGGATTTCTGGGTGACCTAAGAGCTTTCCTTGAGATGAATTCTCAAGGAAGATAGGACATTCGAACTCCTGGTCTCTGTAGGAAGTAGCAGCTTTTCAAATGAGGCTCCAAGGCTGGGGTCTTAGTTCAGTGGAAGAATGCTTGTTTACCATGCAAAGCGTGGTTCTTATGGGTTTTATCTCTAGCGGTGGATAAAAAGAAAAGGTCAAATGGGCAATGAGTAGCAACTGCAGAATGTCAGCCAATAGAAGTATTTGAAAATGCAGGAGTTTAATAAGCCGAACACAGCCCATAGGCCAGAATCCTTCCCAGCCTCCAGTACTTTTCCATGGCACACCCCACTGTTAAAAGCCTTTCTGCTTTGCTCTTCTGCAGAGCTGGGTTCTGACCAGGTTCTAGCCAATTACAAGACCTTAAATAAAGTCTTCTTTGTCTAGTGCAGTTCTCACTTAGATACGAGTCAGATAAGAGCAAGGGAGAAGCACGTTGTTGATGGTGGGAGGGTACATTGGCTTCATAAAAGCTGGAGTTGTTTTTGTGTCTCGGGAGCTACATGGTTTTCTTTGTTCTGCTGCCAGGGTCCCTTGCCTATGATTTCATTGGGATGTTAGAGCGCTAAGCACAGGCATTCCAGGTACGCCGGAGCACAGATGAATACTCTCCTTTTCAGACCAAGTAGAATCATCAGTGATTGTACGTGTGTGAGAGTGTGCATGGTGTACGGGTGTAAGATTACATGGCATGGCACACATGTGCAAGTCATAGAACAACTTTTGTGGAGTTGGTTCTCTCGACCTTTACATGAGTTATGGGGATCCAACTTAGGGTGCCATGCCAGGTTTACATGGCAAGTGCCTTTATTGCCCTCTACCTCCGCATACCCATCAGTAGGACCCTGACTAACTAATACTTTCTGATCTCAGCAAACTGGCTATACTCACAACCAATTATCTATTATTAGCTACCACTTATTTATTCTCAGAATGAAAACAATGTCTTGTGTTTAATGTGTGCACTAATAAGTTGCGTTTTCTCTACCGCAGTTGTGATGATATTCATGGATATTATAATGTCCCCTGCACACAAACACCAATTATGACTCTTGATTGGTGATTCTTAGATATCTCATGACTAAGAAGCCCATGTCTGTTTCATGTTTGGTAGTGAGCTTCCTTCTACAGCAGTTATCTGAGAAACTTATTCTGACTTGAAAAGACATCCCTTTGTGAGAAGGCGGCTAACTGCAAAAAGAATCATGAAGGATTTGGCCAAATAGCATAGCTATAATGAAGGGAAGGAAAGCTTTTGTGCAGAGGACCACAGGTCACACCAAGAACTGGAGTTCAGTAAACTCAAAGAGCTTAGGCTCGGAACAGAGCACATATCTTATGAGGCTTTGGTTGGATGGTAAAACCAGTGTCTGGGGTTAAGTCCAGGTCCACATGGGAGACTCCAGGGGGTGGTTGGAAGGTAAACTTCTGCATGAGACTGGCGAAGAAAAGGAAAAGCTCCATTTTTGCCAGTGGTTCGCCAGCACACATCCGACGGCCTGGAGACACAGAAACCACAGAAGGTTATAAGACATCAGCACAGGCTGGGCAGTGGTGGCACATGCCTTTAATTCCAGCACTCAGGAGGCAGAGGCAGGAGGATCTCAGTGAGTTCGAGGCCAGCCTGGTCTACAAGAGCTAGTTCCAGGACAGGCTTTATAGTTACAGCAAAACCCTGTCTCAAAAAACAAAACAAAGCAAAACAAAAACAAAACAAAACAAATAAAAAGATAAAAATAAAGACATCAGCACAAAACCCTGAACAATCCCAGACAAAGACAAAACCAGATCACACATTCTCCTCTATTTTGGAATGAGTGGATCAGTCATCAACCTCTGCTGAGTTTTATAGGTTTTGTTTCAAAGCAAGACCTGGAAATAATAAATGATAAATCCAATGGCAGCTTTAATGATACAGCCTCAACTGAGGAATTACCCAGATTATATTGTCCTGAGATATTATCTTGACTGATCATAGATATAGGAAAGCCCAGCACACGGTGTGTGACTTCTTCCCTAGGTAAGTTAGTATTGGATGTATAAAAAAAATTGGTTGACCATGAGCCAGAGGTGGAGACTGGAAGCAATGTTCTTCCAAGGCCTCTGGCTCTAGGTTCCTGTCTTGAGTTCCTGCCTTGCCTTCTCTCAGTAATGCAATGTGAACCAGAAATATAAGCCTTTCCTCTCTAAGTTGTTTTTATGGACATGTTGTTTATCACAGTAATAGGAAAAAATAACAATAACAACATTTTAATTTGCAAATACTTTTTGAAAAAGTCATGTGTAACACAAGATCATGTGTAAAAGCAAGCACATGATGTGTCTTCTAAGTAAAAGCTAGCCATTTCATCCACAAACTCATGCTTAATGTCAACATGACAGCTACTAAACTTGGCTAAGCATCTGCTATTGTTCTCGAGAGAACTATGGTGTAGTTGATGACCTACAGATAAATAGGCAGTGTCACAAGGAGATATGTGGAAAGATACCCAGTAAGCCAGGGAAGGCTCATTCTTTGTTTGAGAGCTTTATAAGTAACCTTTGAAAGAAAGGATGAGAAATTGGCCAGGTGGCAATGAGGGAAGGTAAGGACAAGGTCCTTGTGCCATTGGCTGGGTGAGATTTGTCTCTCACTATACTTGGGGCACCAGAGAGATTATATGGAAAAGAGGAAGGAGCAGGAACGAGGTCACAGTGATCTTGAGAAGGTCATTAATCTGTAGAAGCATTTGGTAATTATACCATTTGCAACTGGTATAATTCTGAAATCTACATTGTTTGGGATAATTAAATAAGATTGAGAAAAGAAACTTTCCAGGTAGAAGTTCATTAAAATAATAAGCTCTTGGTAGTTATCTATATTTCCTAGATTGTACTGTGTGAAGAATGATCTTATTGTTAGATGAAATAGAATGAGTTTTGCATTCGTGTTGAAGATTGAAGGCCACACGTTTGAATGAAATGCAGCGTTGTTAATGTATATTCTGCTCTCAGTCCTTCTGAAGACACAGCAGGTCTGTTTAACAACTCCCAGGA